AGTCGTCGCCCCCGTCGAGCTGAGAAGCCGCGCAAGGAGAAGCAAGCGTCGAAGAAAACGCCCTCAACGAAGGACGTCGACAGCTCCAGCGGCAAGAACCGAGGCGACGGGGAGGCGTCGTGCTCGATGGTCGGCGTAGTGGAGCCGATGGTCTCGCTAGCACCGGAGGCTGGCGAGGACTTCCAGGCGGTGGCAGCAGCTGTGCAGGCCAACCCGATGGCGGTGCTGCTCGACAGCGGGTGCTCCCACCACCTGATGGGGACGAAATCGGTCTTCGTTGACATGGGGCCGAGCGATGGGGTGAAGCATGTGCGTGGGTTCAACGGGGCATTGCAGCCTGTCGAGGGTCGCGGAACCGTCGCTCTGCAAGGGGAGGCCGGGAAGCGAGTTCTCATCCCCGACGTACTCTACGTTCCAGGCGTACAGGCAAACCTGTTGTCTGCTGGCCAGCTGAAGGAGAGCGGCGTGCTACTGCAGGGCGATGGCGATGAGATGCTGCTCGTCGACGCGACTGGAGAGGTGCTTGGTCGAGCACACTACACCGGACGAGTCCTCTGCACCGACCTTCGCCCCTGCCCGACGCAGTTGCAGTCGACCGAGGTGGTGGCTCTGCGGACGATCACCTCGGCGACTAAGACGACCCCCGATAGGATGCATGCGCGGCTTGCCCACGTCAACGTCGACACGATCAAGAGCTCGGCAAAACATGGTGTGGCTACTGGGCTCGACATCACGTTGTCAACCGGAGCAGACCCGCCATGTGTCTCGTGCGTCGGAGGAAAGCTGGCGCGGCACACCTTCCCCGCCAAGGGCTCGGATGCAGCGGAGGCGCTGGCTGTCGTGCACATTGACTTGTGCGGGCCATTTCGGGTGGCTGCCAAGGATGGCAGCTTGTACTTCCTGCTGCTGAAGGATCGCCATACTCGATTTGTATGGGCGATGCCGGTCGCTAAGAAGAGCGACGTGCTGCGGGAGTTCGAGAAGTGGCTGGTGCTTGTGGAACGACAGACGAAGAAGTCGGTTCTGTCGCTTCGCTCCGATCGAGGGGGGGAATTCCTCGGGAAGGCGTTCACCGACTTCGTCGACGGGAAGGGCATCGTCCACGACCTGACGTGCCCCTACACTCCGCAGCAGAATGGCATGGCCGAGCGGGAGATGCGTACGGCCGTCGAGTCCGTGCGGACGATGTTGCTGCACATGGGCGTGCAGCACCATTGGTGGCACCTGGCTCTACGACAAGCTGTCTGGGTGCGCAACTGCTTGGAGCGGTCGACGACGCCGCCGGGGACGACTCCGTACCAGCTGCTGACCGGACAGAAGCCCGACCTTACGCTGGCGCGAGTGTGGGGCTGCATGGTGCAGTTCATGGTTCCCGAGCAGCAACGAGGTGGAAAGCTGGCGCCGAAGGCTCGCTGGGGACTTCACCTGGGTGTGTCGCCAGCGAGCAAGGGCTGGGAGGTGCTCGACCTGACCGACAACAAGATGGTCACGTCGGTCGAGGTGATCTTCTATGAGACGCTGTCACTGGAAGTGTGGAAGGCGAAGTATGGGCCGGCGTCGGAGCGGACGCAGGCGCACCCGCCGACGGACACCTCGACGGCGACGGTTCCCCTGCTCGCCGAAGTCGACGAGCCTGCTGATGAAGATGCTGTGGAGGTCCTTCCACCCTCCCCTGTTCTTGCTCCTCCGTCTCCCGTCGCCGATCTGCCTGCGCCGACACCTGTGTCGGCCACCGACGATGAGGGGAGCCTGGAGGCGTCGCCTGTGGCGCCGGCCAGTGGCATCGCCGGCGGACGACAAGGCGCCAAGCTCGACGACTATGATGGAAAGCCGTCGAAGACAGGGGAGCCGGTCGAAGAGGAGCCATCGGCAGGGGTACACTCGATAGGGGAGCGGCAGCCGGAGCGGTCGACAGGAGAATTGTCGAAGGTAGCAGCAGAGGAACAGCCGGTCGAAGGGTCGAAGCAGCTGGTCGACGACGTTCTAGTTGAAACGAAAGGGGAGCTATCGGCGGGGGAGTCCACCGACAGCGACGTGATGGAAGTGCCGATCACGAAGCCTGAGCTGCGACGCTCAGGTCGAGCTCGACGGCCGCCGGAGCGGTTGAGCTTTCACGCCTGCTTACCGCCTGCTGCCTTCACTACGGTGTACGACGAGGTCGACGACGACCTGCTGTACGACGATGCCGAGGAGGATGAAGACCTGTCGGAACTCGACCCTGACGTGCATGCCGACCCCGAACACCGCTGGGACATCGCCACGATGACGGTGAAGGAGGCGCTGTCGAGCTGGAAGGGCGAGGCGGTGAAGGCCGCCATGGAAGAAGAAGTCCGTAGCCTCATCGCTATGGGGACTTGGGAGCTGGTCGAACGCCCACGCGGGGTGAACATTATGAAGAACCGATGGGTGCTGACGACCAAGTACCGCATCGACGACACCGTCGAGCGCGAGAAGGCGAGGCTGGTCGTAAAGGGCTTCACGCAGGTGTACGGCGCCGACTACGACGAGACGTACTCGCCGGTGAGCAGCTACGTCACGCTGAGGATCTTCCTCAGCATAGTCGCCGTCCTCGACCTCAACCTGATGCAGCTCGACATGAAGAACGCTTTCCTGCAGAGCAAGCTCGACAGAGTGCTCTACATGTACCAGCCGGACTACTTCGACGACGGGACCGGCCGGGTGTGTAAGCTGCTGAAAAGCCTCTACGGGCTGAAGCAGTCGCCGCTGCTGTGGTACAGGGCTCTTGACGGTGTGCTGCTGGGCGCTGGCTGGAAGAAGAGCCAGGTCGACGAGGCGCTCTACTTCAAGACCGGCGACGACGGTGTGACCTGCTGGGTCTTGGTCTACGTCGACGACATGCTCGCCGCTAGCAACAGCACCGCGATGCTGAACGAGCTGAAGGAGCTGCTGGAGGCCGCCTTCGAGCTGCGTGAGATCTCGCCGGTTGAAAAGTACCTTGGGCTGGAGATCGTGCGGGACAGGCCGGCCAGGAAGTTGTGGCTGCACCAGCAGGGCTACGCCGACAAGCTGCGCAGGCGCTTTGTCGACGAGGAGCTAGGCGGTCGAGTCCCGAAGACGCCGGTCTCGGTCGACGCCTACGCTCATTTGACGTTCGACGACGAGGAGGCTTAGGAGCGCGAAGAGGAGGAGTACCGACAGAAGGTCGGCTCGCTGCAGTTCGCGGCGACGACGACGAGGCCGGACATTGCGTTCGCCTGCAGCAAGTTGGGAAGCGGCCTCACGGTGAGGAGCGACCAGCATTGGCGTGAGGTCGACCGTTGTCTCGCCTTCCTCGCCGACACCCGCGACACCGCCCTGGAGTTCGGCGGTGAACCAGAATCGTTGGAGCTGATCGGCTACGTTGACGCCGACGACGCGGGCGACAAGCAGAACCGGACGAGCACGGGAGGCTACGTGTTCGTCTACGGAGGGGCCGCCGTCTCCTGGTCGAGCTCGCGCATCAAGTGCGCGACATTATCATCGACCGAGTCGGAGTACGTGGCGGCCACGGATGCCGGCAAGGAGGGGCGTCGACTTCGCTTCCTCCTTGCGGAATTCAAGCTGCTCGACGCTGGGAAGCCGACCATCCTCCGCGTCGACAACAAGTCGGCAATCACGGTCGCTGAGGGCTTGGGGCTGACGGGCAACCTCAAGCACATGGAGCGACGCTACGCCTGGCTGCAGCACATGGTGAGGCGCGGGAAATTTGTGCTGAACTACATCCCTACCACCGAGCAGCCGGCGGATTTCCTGACGAAGGCGCTGCATTTTCCGGCTTTCAACCGGTGCTCTGTCGCTATCGGCCAAGTTCGCTTGGTGGACGTCGGCGACGGCGATGACGAGGTGCAGCAGTAGGTGCCGTGCCCTTCTGCACGGCTGGTGCGGTGACGGCGTGCTGTGTATGGGGTGCACGCCGAGAACGAGCTTTCTGCGTGGAGTACTGCCGTGTGGGCTGGAGGCCCAAGCGTGAGCGCGGCAGGGGAGTGTTAACGGGAATGGAGTGTTGGCCCCGCCCTCGCTTGGGCAACGCCGACGACTTGGTCGGATGCACGGGAGTAGCAGCCGACTGTTCACAGTGGGATAGATGCTCGACAGGTTACGTCGAGCGGCAGCGGACCGCTGTGGTGTTGCTGTCGACCAGGATGCTCGACAGCTGCAACTGACTGGCCTGGGCGACGGGCGAGCCGTCCGGGAGGTCGACGAAGTAGTCCGTCGACCTACAGTTCGACGGGGAAGTCTACGGAGCATTCCGTCGAACTGCAGTTCGACCGGGAGGTCGACGGAGCAGTTCTGGTCGACGGAAGGGGTCCGTCGACCAAGGGGTAGCATGACGGGAGGTGTGGTCGACCAGAAGCATCCGGTGGTCAACCAGAGAGACCCAGTGGTCGACGGGAGGCACGTGGGAGTTGACCAGAGCACCAGGGGTCGACTAGGTCGACCGGGTAACCTGCTCGACGACTTCTGCGGAGGCACGCGAATGCCGTCGAGATCGCGATGGCGCAGGCGACTTCGGGCTGGTATCCCGAAGTCGATGTGGCTCGTCAGGCGCAGACAACAGCCGACGGATGCCCAACGAGGCAAGTCGGACCAATCGCCTGCGCACACCTGCGAGCGCGCGCACTGCTGTGTTCTACGGGGCACGCCGTCGACTAGCCTTGTTGGCAAGTCGCACTTCTGCAGTGCTGGCGCGGCTCCTCTACGCAATGCTGGCAGGCGGTCGACCGAGCTGCGCTGGCAGTCGACCAGGCTAGCTGCAGGGTTGCTAGGTGCCTGATGTAGTCATTGTTGTCATTGCTTCTTTTGTTCAATTCTGTAATTCCCAACTTTGCTAGTGGAAACTCTTGCCAATTTCTCCTGTGAATGTGCAAGCACTAAGGAACCAAGCAAAGCGGAGATCACCTCTAGTAGTTCGTGCCAACCCTGTTGTCTAGCTCACTGCCGTTGTAGAGTGAATCTCCGCACTCACTTCCCCTTCCCGTCGCCTTCACTTCTCCCCTCCGATGCCTTTGATTCCCCCTCCCGTCGCCTTCCACGCCTGCCGCACTCGCTTTCCCGCCCGTCACACTCGCTTCCCCACCCGTCACCTTCACTTCCCCTCCCATTGCCTTTCACTCTCTCCTGCTCCCTCTCTTTCCCCCTGCTCACTCTCTCCCCCCCCCCCCCCCCACTCACTCTCTTTCCCCCTGCTCACTCGCTTCCCCCCGCCTCATTCTCTTTCCCTCTGCTCACTCCTCCTGTTCTCACCCCGCTTTCCCCATTTCTCACCCATTTTCCCCCTTCACGCTCTCTTTCTCTCTCTCCCCCCGTCGCCCTCCCTTCCACTCCTCGTTGCCCTTGCCATCCCTCCCTTCTCCCTTCCCATCTCGCACACTTGTCACGCCCCCTTTCCAGCCCGCACATACACCCTTCCCTTCTTCCCTGTTTCCCCGTATCCCCTGCGCTGCTTCCCACCATCCTCCGACTTGCTCCCCCCATCCCCTTCCCTACTTCCCCCTTCCCCTCCCCTGCTTCCCCCTTCCCCTCCCCTGCCTCCCCCCATCCCCTTCCCTGCTTCCCCCCATCCCCTTCCCTGCTCCCCCCCATCCCCATCCCTGCTTCCCCCCATTTCCTTCCCTGCTTCCCCCCATCTCCTTCCCTCCTTCCGCCTGTGCCCTCTCCTACCTCCCAACATCCGCTTCCCTGCTTCCCCCCTTCCCCTTCACTGCTCCCCCTCATCCCCTTCCCTGCTTCCCCCCATCTCCTTCCCTGCTTCCCCCCATCCCCTTCCCTCCTTCCCCCCATCCCCTTCCGTGCTCCCCCTAATTCCCATCCCTGCTTCCCCCCATCTCCTTCCCTGCTTCCCCCCATCCCCTTCCCTCCTTCCCCCCATCCCCTTCCCTGCTCCCCCTCATCCCCATCCCTGCTTCCCCCCATCCCCTTCCCTCCTTCCCCCCATCCCTTTTCCTGCTCCCCCTCATCCCCATCCTTGCTTCCCCCCATCTCCTTCCCTGCTTCCCCCCATCCCCTTCCCTCCTTCCGCCTATGCCCTCCCCTGCCTCCCCCCATCCCCTTCCCTGCTTCCCCCCTTCCCCTTCCCTGCTCCCCCCCGTCCCCTTCCCTCCTTCCCCCCGTCCCCTCCCTTGCCTCCCCCCATCCCCTTCACTGCTTCTTCCCAACCCCTTCCCTGCTCCCCCCCAACCCCTTCCCTGCTCCCCCCCATCCCCTTCCCTGCTTCCCCCCATCTCCTTCCCTGCTTCCCCCTATCTCCTTCCCTACTTCCCCAAAGCGTGGGCGACGGTTCGAGCTGCGTGGGCGACGATGGGGGGAAGCTTGGCCGACGATGGGAGGAAGCGGGGGCGATAAGCGGGGAAGCGTGAGGGAAGGTGGGGGAAGGCGTGCGCGACGGTGTCCGTGAGGGCAGGTGGGGGAAGGCGTGAGCGACGGTGTGGTGGCGCGGTTATTTTAGGAGTAAGGGCGACGGGGAAACGGGGGAAGCGAGGGCAACGGTACGTCAACGGGGAGGACGATGTGAAGGGAATTGAGTTTGAACCACCAAGAGAACTGATGCGCCGTAGGGAGAGGTGGAGGGTCGGATCAGTTGTCTGTCCAGTAGATACTCGATCTGTTTCTTCATATCTGTCAGTTCGGTCGGACTCAGTCGGTATGGTGCACGTGAGACGGGTTTCGCACCTGGTTCCTCCACGATCTCGTGTTCGTGGGTGCGTGCAGGGGGTACGCCTGCAAGTAGGTCGTCGGGCATTATATCCTTGTACTGCTCCAAGACCTCCTTCACTGCTGCAGGTAGCTCCGAACTCGGCTTCTCCTCCTCTGCTGCTGCCATAACCAGTGCTAGGTAACCCGTGTTACTCTCGTTCACCGTCTGTTCGAACCGTGCCAGTGTCGTTTCAGGAACGCTCCCTGTATCCGTCCAGCTTCGCAGTTCTACCCGTTTCCCGTTGTTGTAGATGCACGCCTTCCTGTTGACCCAGTCGATCTCGGGGTTGAACCGCTTCAAGAAATCTCGCCCCAAGATGAAATCTAAGCCCTTGATGTTCGTGATCGGCAACGTCCGCTTCCACCTCAGCGCCCCTATGTGCAGCTGCAGTGATGCTTCGCCGTGGATGGGAAGTTTTGTACCGTCCACCATTGTTGCCATGAACTTGGTCTCCTCCGAAGGTTCTCCAATTTTCTCCAACGTTCCGCGGTCACACACTGAGTGAGATGCACCGCTGTCCACCAGTGCCTGGAGGCGTCGCCCGTTGCAGATCACCTCGAGTAGTAGTGGTTGTTGCTGTCAGACTTGATATTATTTATATTTGTAACTGCCTGTAGCTGCAGTTAGTGTAGTTATTGCAAATTTTGTTAGGTGGTGCACCCTTTTGTTTCCTATACTATATGTTCTTTGAACCTATAGTGCAACCCACCTTTTCTCCTTTCACAACTTTCTCGACTCTCCCCCTTGGGCCCAACTCACTCGATACCTAAGTTGGGCCTAGGCTCCTAAGCCTAGGCCCTTACGTTCTTATTATTTTAACATGGTTGTCAGAGCAGGTTGGTCCTGGCCTGTGGGCCCGACCAAAGCTTCCGCTGCTGAATTATTGGTCACGCGCCACGGGCGCGTGACGTTTTTATTTTCTACCCGTCGCGGACCCGCCCCCTTTGGCGCCCGCGGCGGTGCTCTTGGCGCCCGCGGACCCGCCTTCGGCGCCCGCGGCGGTGCTCTTGGCGCCCGCGGACCCGCCTCTGGCGCCCGCGGCGGTGCCCCTTGCCGTCGCGGACCCGCCCCTGGCGCCCGCGGCGGTGCTCTTGGCGCCCGCGGACCCGCCTCTGGCGCCCGCGGCGGTGCCCTTTGCCGTCGCGGACCCGCCCCTGGCGCCCGCGGCGGTGCCCTTGGCGCCCGCGGACCCGCCTCTGGCGCCCGCGGCGGTGCCCTGCGCCATCGCGGACCCGCCCCTGGCGCCCGTGGCGGTGCCCTTGAGCCGCCGCGGACCCGCCCCTGGCGCCTGCGACGGTGCTCTCCGCACCTGCATTCCCTGAAGCCGCCCCTGACACCACTGCACCGACACCTTTTCGCCGCTCTGCGGCTTTCTTCCTTCCCACCCCCCTCCTCCTTTGTCTCCCTGCAGCCGCGGGGAGGAGGGTATGGGGGTGGAGGGTGTTGGAGTGTGGGTCGTACCCTTCCCTTCCCCTCCTCCTCCTTTTGTTCCCACTGCTGCAGCTGCCGCTGGGGGGGAGGGTGTGAGGGTGTGGGGGAGCAGGGGGAGAGGCGCCGGGGTGAAGGGTGTGAGGCAACCAGCAGCCGTCCCTCCACCTCTCCTCTCTTCCCCCCCTCTCTACTGCTCCTGCAGCAGTGTGGGGGAGGGGAGGGAGGAGGGTGAGGTGATGGAGGGGGTGACCAGTTATTGTCTGCCCGCCTGCAGTACCTGCTGTTGCTTGGTTATTATCTTGCTTGTGTTGCTTGTGTACCCCTGCAAGTTGTGTTCTGCACAAACTTCTGCTGCAGGCAGTTATGGGGGAGTGTCAGACTTTATATTATTTATATTTGTAACTGCCTGTAGCTGTAGTTAGTGTAGTTATTGCAAATTTTGTTAGGTGGTGCACCCTTTTGTTTCCTATACTATATGTTCTTTGAACCTATAGTGCAACCCACCTTTTCTCCTTTCACAACTTTCTCGACTCTCCCCCTTGGGCCCAACTCACTCGATACCTAAGTTGGGCCTAGGCTCCTAAGCCTAGGCCCTTACGTTCTTATTATTTTAACAGTTGCTGCTCCGAGTAACCGTAGATGGTCTCGCTTATAGGATCGTAGGGTATGTCGAATAGGTCATTCTTCGGTCCTGCGCTCGAAGCTGCTGACTCCATATCAGTTTCCAACTGAGTAGGGTTAGAAGGATTTATCCGAGACCGATTCAACTTCGTCATGGCCTGGAATCTTCCCTTAAGCCTTTGCAGCTGTGTAGGCTTCTCCTGTGGGCAATGGGGAGCCTTAACACTATGCTGCGGGGAGAGAATATGAACTCTTTGGAACGCACGACCCTTTTCAACGCTCCGGAGTGGTTTGCCCAACTTCTCAGGTACCTGAATAATGTCTCAAGGCTTTTTCTTGGCCTTGAAATCTCCCCTGAATTTTTTAAAGGCTTGAAAACCTCGAGAGGGAATATTCTTACTCTCGGGGGTGTTCGCCTGGAGTTTCCCGGTCGGTGCAGAGTCTTGTTTCGCGGAGCCTCCATTTGTCTCGGCGATTTCCCCTGTTGCCGGCCGGTCGTGGCGTTTTAAATTCGTGCCATCGTGTCCTCCTTTTTTCGCCATCGTGGATGTCGAACTGTTGTTGCCCTGCAGCTCCGCTCGTACCTTCTTCAACTTCCAACACGCCAAGAGTCGATGTCCTGCTGCGCCGCAAAATACGCACTTCTCATATTTTGTGGGCCGCTGCTTCGCGTCGATCTTGTCGATATCCATCAGGTCGGCGGTCGTGGGTGGTGCCGATCGCTTCGTGCCAAATGATCGGTTCCGCACATGGCGTCGTGTCTCGGGTTCATATCGCATCAGCGCATCGAATCTCTCTGCTGCAGACACCAAGTCGCGGTAATTGTTGTAGTTCGCGGCAATCACTTGTCGGTGGACCTCCATCTTTAGCCCCTCAATATACGCTTGGATTTTTTCCCCTTCGGTCAGGTCGGTTATTCGGTTGAAGAGGCTCTCCATCTGCTGCGTGTACTGTGTTACACTGCCGAACTGTTTATGCCGATGAATCTGCTGCCGCGCCATATAGCTGGAGTTGATTGGTTCGAAACGTTGAATTAACGCTTCCCGAAACTGCGTCCATGACCCCTCGCCTCGGATCTTATTGCTGTTGTAAATCCACTCGAGCGCTGGGCCTCGTAACAGTGTCGCTGCGAGCCGAATCCGTATTGCATCGTGTGTCGGGGTCGTACAGCCAACGGCCTCGAAGTAAATTTCGAGAGTCGCAATGAATCGACGAACGTCAGTGTCTCTCGCATTCGGATTGAACGTCTCCGGTAGCCTCGGACGTGCCGCCTCAAGATTCACTGTAGCCGCTGCCGCTGGTGCTGGGTTAAGTGTCGGTGTTACCGCTGCTGCTGTTGGCGTCGCTGCTGCATTCGCTGCTGCGTTCGCTGCTGCTATGGCGGCTGCCGACTGGTTTGCAAGAAGCTCCTCTATTCGCTGGAGTGCCGCTCGCGTCTGGTTCAGGTCGGTGTGTAAATCTGTAATATTCTGTACGGAATTATCACCGTTTTCCTCCATTTGGCGATTTATAGGAAGATTTGCGACGAAAACAAATGAATTTTAGGCGCTGGTCATCTTACTGTGAGTCGAGTTGACTGCAGAAATGACGAGGGCTGATTCTGTAGGTTGCGTTATTCTCCCTTAGTCGAAATTCGCGTCTGATCTTGGCCGTTGAGAAGAAATTCGATCCGACGCTCCAAACTCCAACTTTTTTGGGCGAAATTCTCAGGGCCGTTGAGATTCGAATCGATCCGACGGTCGAAGTTCCAACTTTTTTGCTACTGGACCTGAGGAGTGTTCAAAAACCGGTTCGAGGGGGATTTTAGAAAATAGCGTGGAACTGGTTTTACATATCCGTATCGGCGCTTTCGTTGTCGCCCCCGCGGTTTTTTAAAGGCCGGAACTAAGCGGTTGAAGACCTCGCGTGTAAACCCGCTCTGATTACCAAGTGTGAGGATCTAGGATGGAGCTCAGAAAAGAGAATGTAATTGAATTGAATTGAATGACCACCTGGGTACAACACGAGGCTATACATAGGCTCGACACAAAGCCCCGTAACCAGGTGTTACGTGAAGGTTCCGCGGGTCGCGTAGCGTCCCGAACAGACCCTTACCGAATTCGGTAGAAGGCAATTCGGTGGCAACCGAAAAGGCCAGAATTCGGTGCACGCAACCTAGCTCGGTGCTATAACTATAATAAAATATAGGAAAGCACCTAGCCTAGGAAATCAAGCAATTCATGCATGCATATGATTATCCTATGCTAGAAATAGCATAATGAAGTAGAGGCAAGCAAGCATAGCTGGCATAAGCCATCGTACTCTCACAAGGGGCCTGCGGACGACGGGACAGCGTGGAGCGACGTGGGGGGCCGCGGACGACGGGAAGGTGTGGAGCGATAGGGGGCGCGACGAGCGGGGGATGCGATGGGCATGACAGGCAGAGCGCAGGGCGACGACGGAACGGGACGGGCAGGCGCTTCGGGCGCGACTGAGCAGAGCGCGACGGGCATGCCGGGACAGGACGGGTAGGCACCTCGGGAGCGACCGGTGACGAAAAAGAATAGCCCATTTCGCGCTGTAGTTGTTAGAATGGACTAAGCTACTAGCGGAAGCTTTAGTAGTCTTAGAACCTCCTCCTAAAACCTAGGTATCTTAGGAGCCCATTTGGGCATGAACCATGTTAGAACCAAAGTGGTTTCAAAGAAGTGAAGTTCCAACAAGAGAGAACCCTAACCTATAGGGTTTGGGAGGTGGTCCACTCTGAAGAGTGTACACCACAAGTTCTCTCAACCCTACCAGTGTATTCTACACTACTATAGTGTAGATCTGCCACTACATATGTTTAGTGGAGCAACCCGAATTAACCTTAATTCCAACACCCCCCCTTGCTCCCATAAGAATTAAGTTCACCCATAAATCAAAACACAACCCCTCCACCGAATGAAGTCTTGGCCTTTGCAGCCATCACTCGCATGCCGATGCGCTCCAGGTTCTCATGGAGCTGCAAGCTTGGAAGAGCTTTGGTGAGCATGTCCGCATCCTGGAGGTGGGAGCGTACTGAGTGCACCTCGACCTCCTGCTGGCGCACCGCATCCCGTACAAAGTGCCATGGCACATTAATGTGCTTGGTGCGCTGATGGAGAACGGGATTGTGGGCAAGGGAGACAGCAGCCTCATTATCACAGAGCAATGGAATAGCCCCCCCATCCCCCACATGCATCTCTGCCAACTAACTCCTAAACCAAATTGACTCCTTGGCCCCCTTCGATAGAGCTGAGTACTCAGCTTCAGAAACACTTGCTGCAACACTGTTTTGCTTTTTGCTATACCAGCTGATAGCTCCTCCTCCCAACTTAAAGATGTAGGCAGAGCGACTCTTGCCGTCAGTCTCACCACCCCAATCTGAGTCGGTGTACCCAACAACCTGGTCACCACCTTGGCGCTCATAACACGATGACCCTGATGACACGATCAGCTGTGTCGACCAAGTACCTGAGTGCTCTCAGTGCAGCGCGCATGTGAATGCGTCTTGGTGCTACGCAGGACTATGCAAGGGTGTTGAGAGTGAAAGACATGTCAGGACGGGTGGTCGCAGCAACATACATCAAGCTGCCAATTAGACTCTGGTACACCTTGACATCAGGTGCAACACCTTCCTCAATCGATCAAGTACCATTCCTGATCTTAGAGAGATCATTGGGTGACATTGGAGTATGCACCCTATGGGTCTCCTTCACCAGATCACCAAATCTTCCCTGGAGACCACGGACATACTTCTCCTGACCAATCTCCAACCACCCATCCTTGACCGACTTGCGAACCTCCACACTAAGGTACGTGGATACCTCACCTAGATCCTTCATCTCGTACCTCTGAGCAAGCACCTCATTGACCTGACCGATCAGCTCCAAGCGTGGAGACACAAGCAAGAGGTCATCCACATACACCTATACATACACTGGCTCTTCACCCACAAACCTGATGTATAGAGCCTCATCACATGCACTCCGGTCAAACCCTGCTGCTATCAGGATGGTACCAATCTCCTCATTCCAAACACAAGGCGCTTGCTTGAGCCCATAGAGAGCTTTACGCAAGCGATACACCCTACCTGTACCATCATCAAATCCCTCAGGTTGCCTCACATACACCTCCTCTTGAAGGACTGCATTGAGGTAAGCATGATCAACATCCTCCTGTTGTATATGCCACCCTTTTACCGCGGCTTCTGCGAGAAGCACCCGACCTGAGGTGAGCTTGCCCACAGGGGAAAATACTTGATCATATTCCTTCTCGGGCTTCTGAGTGTACCCCTTAGTAACAAGGCGAACCTTGTGCTGTACCATCTTATCCTCCTTATCAGTTTTCCTACGGAAAACGTACCTGACCCCAATGACCTTCTTACCTGGAGGTAAGTCGACCGGCTCTGGATCCCATACACCCATAGTGCGCATTGCATTTACCTCCTTCTCAGCACCTGCCTTCCATGCAGGGCCCTCAAGGCCACGCAAGGCCTCAGCGAGTGTGCGTGGGACATCACCGGTACTCACACCTGCCAGTGCAACACCTTCCACCTCCCTGGCCAAACACAGCATGCCCTCAACCACACCAGCATCCCCCGCTACCTCCTCACCACCTGTACCAGACTGGATACCAAGCATCTGCAAACCCGTAACCGGTGGTGGGGAGGTAGTCGCTGGTGACGGAGGGGCACCCGTAGAGAGAGGGACAGAGCGCTGACCAGGGAGGAGGAAGAGGAAGTAGCCTGTGTAGCGGATCTCCTCTGGATGACCGAGGGGCCACTGAGCTGCTGCAGAGGGGGTGGGCATCTGCTGCACCGACACACTCAGCGGTGCCAGTGGCAGTGATGAAGATGGCATCTCAGCGTCGTCAACCGTTGCTAAGGGTGGCGAGAGTGGAAGAGGGAGGAGTTGGGAAATCTCAGCTGCATCCTGCGGAAGCTCCCCAAATCCCTTTGCTTTGTCCCAGTCCTTCCACATCACATTCTCAAGAAAATCAACATCCCGAGCAATGTGAATGCGCATGAGAGAAGGGTCCAGCATGTGCCAACCCTTGCTCTCCATGTCCACCCCAACACACACACACATGACAGCCCGTGCATCAAGCTTGCCACCCTTCTCATGACCATGCAGCATGACACTCCCCATGCAACCCCAAATCCGAGCCATGCCCACATGCGGCTTCTGGCTAGACCACGCCTCCATTGGTGTGATGGAGGCGGGCAAAGCACTGTGGATGACCCTGTTCTTAACCCACACGACCCACATCAATGCTTCACCCCACAAGCGAGCAGGGAGACCATTGTCAACCAACAATGTGCGAATCCCCTCTGCCATCGTCCTGTGCCACCTCTCCACGACCCCATTCTGCTGCGGTGTATCTGCAACTCTCAATTGGGTTTTGATGCCAAACTCCGCTTTCCATGCTTTCACAGCGTCCCCCGAGAACTCGCCACCCCTGTCGGAGCGAACAACCTTCAGCTTCCGCCCACACTCCAACTCCACGTCCTTATGCCACTGGCGAATGACTTTTACGACTGTGGTCGATTCCTTGTTGGGGAGTGGGAACGACCAAACTCGTCTGGTGAAGTCGTCAATGAGACTGAGGACATACACCGCTCTTCCTAGTGGCGGTGTGCGCACTGGCCCCCACAAATCCATGTGGACCTCATCCAAAGGCCCAAGTGCCCAAGACGCCTCGTGGGGAAACGACTTCCGAGCCGACTTTCCCAATAAGCAAGGCTCACATGGGGAACAATCAGTGCTCCCCCCCCGGATCTCCAAGCCCATTACACTGTTCCCCCAAGCCATCTGTTGCAATGTTGTGGGGGCGGTGTGACCAAGGCGACGATGAGCAAGGGTCAATGGGGAAAATGAGGAGGAGGACCCAGCTGTAAGAGCACTGCCTTGTGTGCCCCGAGCAAGAGGAAGAGATATACGCGCCAATCCATGGTCCCTTCCCCTCTCCTTTTCTCCAATTGCCAACACCCTCTCCCCCCGTTTAAGAACGCATTTCGTGCCCTTGAATATGACAATGACATCTCGAGAGTTGAGGTGTGGGACTGACAGCAGACGCGTGTGCATCTCAGGCACAAGGTGGACCTTTTTTAATCCTCAGCAGCTGACCTCTAGCACCAACCACTGGCACCTCACCCGTGCCAACAGCTTTCACCACCCGTCCATCTCCCAATCTAACTCCCCGAACCTCTTGTGGCTGAAGCTTACTTTGGAAGTCCGATGCATAAGGAGTAAAGTTGTGGCTGGCCCCAGTGTCAATCCACCACCCCTCTCGCGGCTGCTCCTCTCCCACTGCTGCAACTGCCTCTCCAACCACTGCCTCTGCCTTGTCATCTTGCTCCTCCTCATCCGCCACCTTTGCCTTGCCGTTGGATCCACAACCCCCCCGTTTTGAGAATGCCGGAATGCCTCCCTTAGGTCGATGAGGACATCGCTGCCATGCATGTCCCTCATCCCAACAGCCATGACACAACCCCCGAGGAGCCATGCCCTTGGACCCCAAGGGTAAATCAAGCACTCCCGCTTTGCCGTTTCCTTGACCCCATCTGCCCGAGTTGGTGTCACTGCTGCTACTACTGCCTCCATGCTTTCCTCCCTTGTCCTAATTTCCCCTGCCGCTGCTGCCCACTTTCGTACCCGCTCCAAAAGTGGCTACACCATCCGATCTTGGTGCGACACCAATCCGCATCTCCTCGCTCCTCAAGGAGGCAAGCAGCTGATCCTTAGTGAGCGATGATGACTGGTTGTTCAACACCACCTTCAGCATCTCAAAGTAAGGAGGTAGTCCTTTGAGTACCCTCATCTTCCACTCCTCAACCTCCTCCTTCCCTCCTGCAGCCAAGTACTTGGACCTCAAGTCCTCGACACGCGCCCAGTATGCAGCCACTCCCTCCCATTCTTTCATCTTCAATGAGGAGAGCTCCTCAGAGAGTGCCATCCAATTACACAATCTACGCTGAAGGTAGAACTCTTTCACTCGTGTGTATGCCGCTGCTGTGCCTGCAGGAACCCGGGTGACTGCTCTTGCTCCGCCATCAAAAGGTGCGCTGCCCAACTCGCTCTTGCCGCCGAACTCCCATACCAAGCGAATCAGCTCATCTGGCACCAAGGCATTGCAAAATTGGGCGAATGCCTTCTGATTTTTCCTCTCCCACTTCAGCCGTGCGTCACCCGTTGCAGGTCGCTCCTCCGAGCCATCAAAGTACCCCCATAGATCGTGCGCCTCTACCTATTGTTCGAATCGGAAGCTCCAAGTCCAATAGTCGCTCCCGTCAAACTTTGGCGCACTCTCCAACTTCCCTTCGCCTGAATCGTGATCCATTTGTGGCGCAGGCACTGAACATTGACGTTCAGGTGGTGGTGGAGGCAACGGCGGCGACGGTGAAGACGATGCGGGCAGATTCACCCCCTCTTGATTTTTGGAGTGTAAATCTGCACTCGAACCTCCAAATGATGATCCGTTTAGCTCTAATGAATCCTCGCTCTGATCCCGTTCCAATGGTGTATTGCGCTTTGGGATCCCACGTCTCTGCTGTCCGCTTAAACTCGTCAAAGTTGGCTGATTTTCCGTCAACGAAGACTCGACGGTTTCTCCTGATTTTTTGCTTGCTGAATGCGCCCTGTCCTCCTCTTTCGGTGTCTGCACTCCAATCATTTTTCCGCGCTTTAATTCTTCCCCGATTCACGATTTTCCAATTCGTCCGCCGACTGTATTTCGCGAATTGCGTCCGATCCGCTCGTCAATTCCTAACACCCCGGAGGCAATTGTTGTATATCGTGTCAAGGCCTTTCGAACGATATGCTGGACGTCTTGATCGGCCAAAGTTGACTGGGCGTCTCCGTGAATAGATCCACACGATTTCTAGCAATTTCGGCAGCCCTTCGAGAGGGATGGAAGCTATTTAGCTTCCACCAAGGTGTTATGATCAAATTTCTTGAGTAGCTCCTATTCCAACAGATTGCTAGGCCAACCTGGCTCTGATACCATGTTAGAAAGACTAAGCTATTAGCGGAAGCTTTAGTAGTCTTAGAACCTCCTCATAAAACCTATGAATCTTAGGAGCCCACTTGGGAATGAACCATATTAGAATTAAAGTGGTTTCCAAGAAGTGAAGTTCCAACAAGAAAGAACCATAACCCATAGGGTCTGGGAGGTGGTCCACTCTGAAGAGTGTACATCAAAAGTTCACTTAGCCCAACCAATGTATTCTACACTACTACTGTGTAGATCTGCCACTACATATGTTTATTGGAGCAAGCCGAATTAACCTTAATTTCAAAAGTGGTATGGCCGGGCCTATGTTCCGTGAAGAAAAAATTAGGTCCTTAGAACGTTTTGCTGCTCTAATACCACGTTATAATGGTAGCTAGAGGCTAGGGTTTTGGGAAGAGAAAGTTGGCCAAGAGAAGAAAGTTTGCATTAACAATGGGAGTACAACATATAAAAAAGGGGAGATGGTGAAGGGAGGTAGACCACCTAACGAATGTTGGGCTGAAACGCCCTAGGATCTTTGTAGAGTTAAAGTCTGAGTAAGTGATGTAATCGCGGAAGCGTTGAATAAAGTCCTAGAACCACCTTGCGCTAGTATGTGAGGGCTAAGTAAGTTAATTAAAGCAAAGAGATACAAGAATATAAATAGATGAGTACAGAGAATATGAAGAGACATTATAACTGCTTTTACTGTTGCGGTTCGATACAGTGCGACTCGTGCAACTGCTCAATGTCGAGTCAGTTGTTTGTCCTTGCTGTCGCGCTGCGTCAGGTCAAAGGTCGCTGACCTTTGACTTTCTCGTAACCTCCGACGGTTACGTTAACCACCAAGGGTTGACTCGCGATGCTTCGACTTGAGCTGCTTCGCTTTGTGTCTTGAGTTCTGACACGACAAAGGCGCTTAACTTATTTGTTCCCATCAACGAAAAGTGAGAAGATATGAACTAGAATGGAAATGACTATGAACGAAGTGAGTACAGATAGGAAACCCTAATTTGGGTTGTACCCCCTATGGGATACCCCACTATAGCCTACAGAAACAAGTAAGCTATATGTTCTGACACACCCCCATAGGCAAAGTGGGGGAGAACAAGGGGTCACAAGACCAGTCAAGCAAAGCAAAGCAAAGCTCAGGGTGGATCACAAAGTCACCACGCATTCCGAGCACAAGTTCAAAGGCCAGAAGGCCAGTTCACATGCAAGATCATATATAGAGATATACAAGAGTCAAGTAAGCAAGAGCAAGAGTATATATAGGCCAAGGTACAAGCAAGGTCAAGAGGAGAGCAAGTGAGGCAAGACAGGCACAAGACCCAACTGCGTGCAACAACGCTGATGATCACAAGGCGCAAGTGCCTTGGTGAAGACATCAGCAGTGTTGGCCGCAGAGGCCACGTACGCAAGTCGCAACTGTCCACGCTGCTGTAGCTCACGAGCAAGAAAGTAGCGGAGAGCAATGTGCTTAGTTCTGTGCTCCAGTCGCTGCTCTCGACACAAGGCCAGCATGGCCTTGTTGTCTACGTACAGGACTGGAGGAGAACGAGGCTGCTCTCCAAGGTCGGTCAGCAGGTAGGTGAGCCAGCGTAACTCCTGTGCAGCCATAGCCCCAGCGTAGATCTCAGCCTCACAACTGGAGCCGAGAACAGAAGACGAGCGGGTAGCCCGCCACGAAACAGAGCCGGAACCAAGACTGAAGGTGTAACCCTGTGACGACCGCTGCGTAGCCTGGTCGTCAGCCCAAGAAGCGTCTGCGTGCCCAGTGAGGACCACTGGACTGCGCCCTCCAAGCACTAGCCCCATGCCCGACGTACTGCACAAGTAACGCAACACCCTCTTCGCTGCAGCCATGTGCTCTGGTCGGTGTCTCCCAGGAGCAACATAGCGTGCGAGAATGCTAAGAGGGTATGCAAGGTCAGGTCGTGTGCAGGTCATCAGGTACATGAGGCAGCCAACAAGCTCTGCAAACGGGCCACTCGACTCTACGGACTCATCCGAAGGCAGAGCTGAGAGCGAGTGGCGAGTAGGCAGAGGAGTGGCCTGAGGCGAGGAGTACGTGAAGCAGAAGCGCTGAAGGACCTGCTGCACCATGTGTGACTGAGTCAGGGTAATGGTGCGGCGTGCTCTGTCCCGGGTGATCTGCAAGCCAAGGTAGCTACGCAGTTCACCCAGGTCAGTGCACGTGTGTCTCTTCTGCAGCTCGGACTTCACGTGGGCGAGTCCAGCAGTGTCAGCTGTGGCAAAGACCAAGTCGTCGACGTACACGAGGATGTAGAACGGCGGCAACGAGGTGTCGGTGCGCAGAAACAGCGACGGGTCGGCAGTAGAAGGAGCAAACCCAAGTGCCGCGAGCGTAGTCCTCAGTGTGTCGTGCCACTCACGTGGCGCCTGGCGGAGACCGTAGACTGGACGCCGGAGACTCCACTGGGTACCAGGAGGGAAAGACCCAGTGAAGCCAGGTGGGCGACGCAGCCAGATCTCCTCGTGCATGCTGCCCTGCAAGAAAGCGGTGCTGAAGTCGAGAGAGTGAAGCTCGTAGTCACGGTGAGCAGCAACGTGCAGTAGAACCCGAAGAGTGGTCATCTTCGGGGTGGGGGAGAAGGTCTGAAAGTAGTCAACCCCCTGCCGCTGACTGAAGCCACGAGCCACGTAACGCGCCTTGAAGACAGGCGGAGAACCCGGCGGCCGCTTCACCCTGAAAATCCACATGCCACTGACTATGTTCGCCCCAGGAGGGGGAACAGCGTCAACGTAGGTGCCTGTGGACTTCCAGGAAGCCATCTCTGCATCCATAGCTGCCTGCCACTGAGAGGAGTAGGGACCCTCTATCGCCTCCGCGTAAGAGCGCGGAGTCAGGATGTCTGGTGCATCCGGGTCTCCCTCAGGGGCTAGCAGTACAGACGCGAGATGAGGTGAAGCGGCGGCCAGACACTGGAACTCCTCCTGCCTGTCCTCAAGGACGTCCGTGCCAAGGGCACACTCACCCCCGACGGACGGAGGACAGGCAGACTCAGACTCAGCGACAAGACTGGCAGCGTAGTCTAGACGACAGCGCGCAGCAAAGTCGACAAGCTCAGTGACAAGGGCAGACGCAGCAGACGACTCGAAGGAAGGGTCAGTGACAGCAGTAGCAAGGAGACGCGTGACAGTAGGACTGGCAGCACGAAGAGAGTCCGACTCCGGGTCGGCAAGAGCAGGAAGAGAGGAAGCAGGAGGAGAAGGCAAAGGGGCACGCAGAGGAGTAGTGGATGGACGCAGTGACATCCGGTGCGTGCCAGGGACAGGAGGAGGACGCTGACGCGACCCGCGACCACTAGCGCGCGCAGTACGAACAGGCGACGCAGGACGAGACGCAGGCTCACGACGCTCAGTAAGACCTCCAGTCGGACCAGCGTAGGGAGAAGGAGCAGGCAAAGGGGAGGCAGGCTGTAGCGGTGGCTGTGACTGGACAGGCGGCGGACCCTCTAAGGGAGGAGGAGGAGGACCAGGAGAAGGTGTAAGACCAAGAACCTGCTGCAGGAGCGGAACGAAGTACGGTCGGGGCCGCGCGGCAACGCAAGAAACAGCAGGGACAGGACTAGTACCCCCAGCAGGAGTACCCGCTCCAGCAGCACCTCCAGCAGCACCTCCAGTAGCTCCAGAACCTCCAGCAGCACCACCAGGAGCACTGCCAGGCTGACCGCAAGCGGCAGTCCCAGTGCCAACACCCTCAGCAGCACCAGCTCTAGGAGAAACCTCAGACCCAGCAGCTCCAGTACTCCCAAGACGAGCACCTCCGGGACCCGCGGCAGTGGCACCCTCTGCAGGCGAAGAAA